AAATATAGGAGTACAAGATAGAAAAAGTATAAAAAGTATAAAAATATAGGAATACAAGATAGAAAAATAAAAATATATGAATATTATAATTAATAATATATAAAGAAATTGTGAAATATTCTAAGTTCTTTACATAATTTTCATAATTTCATGAAATATTACAGATTATGGAATTAACGAATTTTATAACATAATTGTAACAATACTATAATATTAATTATTTATTTATATTTTAAATAATATTAAGATTTGAGATAATAATATTCACTTTTTATTATTTATTTTATTTCTTATTAATTTGATTGAGCTTTGCAATTATTGGCAAAGATACTATATTATATATATAATTAGAGTAGTTTAGACTTAATTATTTATCATATTTTTATTTAACATTTTATAATTAGATTTATTTAATTTAATTATTTATCATATTTTTATTTAACATTTTATAATTAGATTTATTTAATTTAATTATTTATTATATAACTATTTAATTTAATTTATTATATTCTTATTGGATGAATTTGAAATTATATGACTTTTATATATAATATGCAATTTTAATATGTGATTTTTACATATAACTTATACAGGTAATTTTATATGTAACTTATTAATAATTTATTATAAATCTTATAAATCTTATAATTTTTTATATTTTTTTGTAATTTACCTGAATTTATTATAATTGATCAAAATTTACTATAATTAACTAAAAATTATTTAAGTTTACTTTATTATTTTTTATTCTTCATTATTATTATCTATTATTATTCATATTTAACTATTATTAACTATAATTAACTATACTTAATTATAATTAACTATTAATAGTTTGTATCAAAAAATATATATATAACTAGTTTTATAATTATAAAATATAACGTTATAATCAATTAAATCTAATACAATAAAGTTATAGTAATTAATCCAATTAATATCTTAAATAAAATACTTGAATAATACTCTACTTAAATAATACTATTGTATTTTATATTTACTAATACTATCTTGATAATATTATATATATATTTAATGATTACATGTATTATTTAATAGTATTATTTATTCATGTTATGACTGAAATTTGAGATTTTAATATAATAAATATGTATTTTTTTTTAACAAAAATCTCATTTGTAATAGTGATTAAATTTTTTCTTTTGTCCAATATTTTTGAAATTATTCAGTAATATATTAACTTATTTGATTCTATCACATCATAATATTACAAATTCACCTATTTCATGTTATTAATTGAAATTAATTTTTAAGTTTTTTACCTTTTTATTTATCTAATTATCATTGCTATAACTGAAATATTTTTTAAAAGATCTTTGCGTAAAAGTATTTATTATTTTCAGACAATTGTACGTATATATTAGTTAAAGATCTACATTAACGAGTTAACGCTAATCCTATAATATAACCAAAAGAAGGCTTCTTGAACTTTACTGATTGAATGATTCGTCTGATTTCCCACACTGAAATATTTTAGAATTAATAATCTGATCTATATTTATTCATTTCTCTCGAGATAATAAAAAAATTTTTTAAATTAATGATATTTGTATGTTTTAAAAAAATAGTTTCAAGTTTGAATTCAATAAAGTGCTAAAACAAACAACAATTAATGAATCCATAAGTGGATCCAGAATATATAAAAATCAGCACTATATAATAACCCATTACCCAACTACAGATAAAACTACAGTAATTGGATATGTTTCCGACAACAAGAAAACTCCCAGCGTTGAGTTGGAGCTTAGAGAAGAATTTTTTTAATAAACTTAAATTATATGCCAAAAAAAATTACTCAACAAAATACATGCAAATATTAAAGATGATGCAACAAATAAAAAATTACTTACGACAGCTAACACAATAAAAGTATCTGTCAGTGATTTATTAAGTACTGAAATTAATCTAACTGTCCTTTATAACATTGGTGCATACTATTATAATGTAGGCCTATTAAGATATATTTATTCTATTGTTTTTTATTATGCTTTATCTTTATTAATATCTTGCTTTATTAATATTGATAGCAATTGAAAAATATCTTTATGCGAGATGATGTATATTTACCTTTAGAATATTTGGGATATAAAGATCTTTAAATTCATCAGAAATATCTAATGTTTAAAATTAGCACAAAAAGTTTTTCTTCTTTTTTCTTTTTGTGGTAAAGAATTTTTAGAAGAAGAAAGAGCAATAAATAAAAGTGGTTAAAAATTAATCAAAAATATGGAACTGGATTCATTTAAATATATGCTTTTTGAGCTTGGAAAATATTTTATGTTTTTAAATTTAGAAAATCAGAAAATATAGCTGTTTTTCAAATTTTCTCTTATGTATTTCCTGGAATTGTACGTAGTTAATAAAAAATAAAGTTTGATTCAGTTTAGTTGATCATGCTTATTAAAGCAGGAGGAATGTGTTCTTTGCTTTCCATGGTGTAGGGATAATGTTTGTCACGAGTGATCGTATCGTATTGCCACCTTTGAAATTTTAAATTACAATTATTCATTCGTTTATTTAAAAAAATTACCGCTACATGCTAATTGATAATAATGTTATATACGTATAATAGTTACAATGAATACAAACCAAATACGTAAAAAAACAAGATATCCGCCCTTGTCATTCAATTCTAGCGTAAACTATATACTAATTTAGAATATTCTCGTGTGGTCTTTAAGTAATTTCTTAAAAAAAATAATTAAACAATTACGGAAAAACTGATATTTTTTTAATAGTTTGCAAATACATGTGAAAAAAATAATTTTAATATTACAGTGCTGGTCAGAAGTAACCTACCCCATAACTTTCCATCGATCATGTGTACGTAATGCTCTGAAATTTTCCGAGCACAAAGAAAAATGTTTTGAAAAGGAACAAGGTCTCTGAAAAATTTTTAAGGAATTAGTTCTCCTAGTTTAGCATTTTTTAAGAGTATTAAAATAAAGTCAAAGAACATTACAAATGCTGATCATTGATACTTTTAATAGATTGATAGAGCTTCTATATCAGGTATTGTATGTTCGTAAACTTTCATGCCCAAATACAATAAATCTGTCACTTTAGGACATAATATCTCGACGTCTAGTAATCTAGTTTGAGCGAAAGTAATACCATACAGATACGATTTGCCTAATCTAGGCAAATCAAATGGTTGTATTTTCGCTCAAATTGGATCACTAGACGTCTCGATCAATTTTTCATTAGAATCTGTCAATTTAGGATGGGATATCTCGATCTTCAGTGATCCGATTCGAACAAAAATACATGTAATACCATTCGATTTGTCTAGTCAAGACAAAGCGAATAATATTACATGTATTTTTGTTCGAATCTGATCACTGAAGATCAAGATATCACGGCTTAAATTGGCTGATTAATTTTTGTTAAGACGCAATATTTCGACGTCCAGTGATCCGATTTGAACAAAAATAATACCATTCGCTTTGTCTTGACTAGACAAATTAAATGGTAGATTTTTTGTTTAAATCGGATCACTGGACATCAAGAATTAGATTATTGGATATTGAGATGTGTGTTATGAAATAACTGATTATATTTGGGACGTGAAAGTTTATGAACATACAATACTCGATATCGATATGGATGCTTTACCAATCTATAAATGGTATCAATGATCAGCATTTGTAATGTTTGTGCTCTCTTGCTTTTTTCTTTTTTCTTTAATTTCAGGGTGATTATTATTATTATTATTACAATTACATTTTTTCTTCTTATTTTAATGCTTCTTGAATTTCTTTCTCACATCCAAATCCTTCGCATAATAATTCCTAATTAAACCAGTTGAATGGTAATCATATTTTTTCTTAAGAGCAGATATAAAATAATAAATATGCTTTTTATTACAAAATGATTTTAATGATTCTGCGGAGTAATAAAAATCAGTATATAAAATAAATATAATCTAATGATTACAATTCATCCCTTTTCCTATTCAAGTATATTACAAAATGAATGTTTCCCTTCCTAACATCTGAATTCAAATAATTAAATACTAGATCTAATGGATTCGTTATTTCCTTAGTATCTATCAGTTTGTTTTCGTTGAATTTTGTAACCAATTCCTCGTTGTTCATCCTTTCTTCTACCTTATAAAAGGTAATCTGGTCGTGCATGAGATTTTTAAGAGAAGATGACATTTCTTGGACCTTTTCTTTCAAAAAATTAAAATTTTTATCTTTGGCAATCTCGATCGTAAAAGCATCTTGAGTAGCAGCCTTGTCTTTATGGGTTACAACGACATTAACATCAATAGCAGAGACCGTATTGATAAAAAGCCAAGCAAAGACAAAAGCAAAGACGAATTTGTTTTTATACCTAAAATTATATTAAATATATTAGCGTTTTTGTGAGATGAAATTACAAAAATTTAAAATACTTACATTGAAATAATAGATATTTTTGTGGTGATGTTTAAAAATTTATTATTATCCTTGATTTTTTTTTACCTCCTAGACACAACACAACCATATATATATATATTTTTGCATCCTTCAAAACAATGGGAAATCGTGAATGTTGTTTTCAAAGGCATAATAAATATATTGTTACTAGGTGGCACCCAATTCGGGCGTATATGCAGTAAAATAATACGTTTACCATTACATATTACATGTATGATAACGATAAATACAGTGTTTAAAATTGACCTGCGCAGTCTGCGCACCGCAGATTGGAAACTGATTGCGCAATCATTTTTTAAAGTAATTTGCGGGTTGCGCAGATAAAAAAATTCATATTTTAATCTTAAATTCAATAATATGAGGCATTGATATTATATCATGCGCATATTGAAGAAATTTTGCGCAGATAGATATGCGGGCGCGCAGATTAATTTTTAAATGAATTTTAAACACTGCTGTAAATACATCGCATAAAGTTTGCTCACAATTCAGGCGCATATCGTATATGTGTTAAACTCATTGTTATACGTATTACTAATGCTAGAATTAATGTCATTGTATATTACTATAATTGCTTACATTGCATACTTTTTATTATATTCCCATCTTTGGTAATTCTGACGTTAATCCGGCCATCCAATTGAAAATTTTGTTTTTGCCGTTTTTATTAAAGAAATACCATACCGGTATAGGCTGTTTTCTATAAAAGAATCAGGCTTTTTCTAACACATCTGATAATCATCGATATAAATACGTACAATATATCAGTTGTTCGCGTTTGTACCACTTTACCAGCTGGATATGTTGTAAACGTGCTTATTTATCCCTCGCATATTAATTTCAGAATATTTGATGATCTCATTAACGTCCAAAGATAGTATATCGATATAGGATCAAGTTCTTTCACGATTTTATTTGAACATTAAACCTTAAACGTTATTTTCAAAGGCAAACTTTAACATAATACATGTAAATATTATATTGTTAATAGGTGGCATCCAATTCGGGCGTATATGCAAAAAATAATCATCTGGTTAATGGATATACGTTTACCATTACATCTCACATGTATGATAACGATAAATACAAGAAATATATTATATTATAAAGTTTGCTCACAATTCAGGCGTATATCGTACATGTATATGTATTAAACTCATTGTCATACGTATTACTAACGCTAAAATTAATGTCATTGTATATTACTATAATTGCTTACATTGCATTCCCATCTTTGGTAATTCTGACGTTAATCCGGCCATCCAATTGAAAATTTTGTTTTTGCCGTTTTTACTAAAGAAATACCATACCGGTATAGGCTGTTTTCTATAAAAGAATCAGGCTTTTTCTAACACATCTGATAATCATCGATATAAATACGTACAATATATCAGTTGTTCGCGTTTGTACCACTTTACCAGCTGGATATGTTGTAAACGTGCTTATTTATCCCTCGCATATTAATTTCAGGATCTTATTAACGTCCAAAGATAGTATATCGATATAGGATCAAGTTCTTTCACGATTTTATTTGAACATTAAACCTTAAACCTTTCAAATGATGAATCTCACGATTTTGTAAGAAGTTTTACAACTGGAAAATAGTGGCGGAAATTTCTCTGTTTAGAAGACAGAAGGTATATCCGTTGGTGGTACTCTGGAAAGATTCATGTATTCAGTTTTTTCTAGCGCCTTGGAACACAAAAATATAGAAAAAAAATATAAAAGTATATTTTCATTATCGCTATTTATTAAATTGATGTACATAAAATCGAGAGTTACAGATCATAAAAGTATCTCAACCATAAAAACATATTTCATTATCTGCTTATCTTAAGTGTATATTTTCATTGTCGTTTGAATAATATCTAGTGATGGGCACTATACTGTTTTGTATACGATGACGTACATGTATATAGAAATCATATGTAGCGCATACTGTGTGTAAAGTACGTCAGTACGTATAGAACGCGTATAGTACGTATAGTTGCTGTCCAAACTTTGGGATTTGGGATTTGGGCATTGGAAATACCAGAAAAAATGGGATTTTCCAATAATATTTAAAAACCCATATGTCCAAACTTATTTTTTCCAGTTTGGACAGGTAAAATCCCAAATCCCAAATGTTGGTAAAATCCCAAATCCCAATTCCCAAATCCCAAATTCCAAATTCCAAATTCCAAATCCCAAATTTTATTCACATGATATTTAACCAATCAAAAAGTAAAAAATCTAGTTTTGTAGTGTTACAACAAAAATCTAGTTTTGTAGTATCACAAAAAATCTAGTTTTGCATTGATGTATTCTTTACTCACCATCACTTTCTTTTTTCAGTCTACAAAAAAGCAAATTAGTTTTCTCATTTTTTTTATTGGTAAAAATTTGGTTGTATTTAATT